ACACACACACACACAAACACGCAAACACACACACACACACACACACAGACTTTCTCATACAAACACACTCACATACACATACTCACACACTCAGACCTTCTCTCATGCACACACTCTCTTTCACACACGCATGCACAAACGCACTCGCACTCACTCTCTCACACACACATACACTCTCTCCCTCTCCCCCTCTTCACACACACACGCACCCTCTCTCTCACACGTGCACATGTGCAAACACACACACACACCCCTACGGGGTGAATTTGCATTTGCAGATTTATATTTGTAGATACATTCTACTTTGTTCGAAAAGCACACAATTAGTAGACATTCAATATAGCATTTTATAAATTCCTATTTTGAAAATTAATTACCTCCAAGTTAATACACTGCCAGATACTAAGCAAGGCCTCACATCTAAAATGCGTTGTCTGACCAAGATGTCACCTCTGGTATAATGATAAAACCTTTAGTTATCTCAGGGCAGTGACTTGAAAGAAATTCTGGGATTTGTATATTAATCCCTTCTAATTGATTAAAGATTTAACAGCCATCTTAGGTTTGTTCAATACATTTGCATCAGTTCTATGACTCTTTGATCTTTTGCTTGTAAATTGTGTCTGATGTCACCTCTCTCACTGACATCTAAAGAAAGAGTAAGAGTCCAAAAGCTTGTGTCTTCAAATAAATCTGTTGGACTATAACCTGGTATTGTGTGATTTTTGACTTTGTCCACCCCAGTCCAACACTGTCTCCTCCACATCATAGTTTATTACATTAGGAACTATGTACAGCTTTACAGAAATATGTCTAACTCTGCTGAAGCTACGATGATTCTCCTCTCAAGTTTTCTCAGTCATGTATTGGCTTGCATCATCCCTGTGGGAGGTACTATGCATCCAAGCCTGGACATTAATCCTTTCAAGTCCCTGTTTTCCTTGTTTTTCTACAGTCACAAAATGTCCAAGCATAAGACAGCAACAAACGTTTGGAGCTCTGCTCTGTGGTTGCAGAGAACAGTACATACTTAGCTGCCATACTGTACTTGATTGCTTTTTAGTCCCCTCACTTGAATGGTCTCCTGTACCATGGTATTTTGGTTCGTTTGCTCTTTCACCCTGCAGATCTTTTGCTCATTCGTATGGAACTAAAGCTTGTTAATGGCAAAGAGTGATACTTCTGCAGCAGAATGCATGGTCTCCCTTAACTGACTGTCTCACCATTACATCCAGCTGTCCAGTGACCACCAACCAGACCTGCACTACTTAATAACCAAAGGGAAATAGCTGTCTATTTGACAGTGAAAGATCAAAGTATCCGGGTTACCCCTTCCATCTCCCTTCCTTATGTTCTGTATTCTTTGCACATGAGACTGCAGCTCAACAATTTGGAGTTTACGTTGCTGGACATGCTGTTATAGTGATGTCACTGGACCAGTCCAGAAGTCTAGGTTGTAGAGAAATGGGTTCATATATCACCACAGCAGCTGATAGAATTTAAATTCAATTTTTGGATCTGGAATACAAAATGAGGCTCAGCATTGTGATCATGAAAACAATCATGAATTGTTGTAAAACCCCATCTGATTCACTGATGTCCTTTGAAGAAGAAAATCTGCCATCCTTATCTGGGCTACATATGGCTCCAGATCACCACAATGTAGTTAATTCTTAACTGCCCTGAAAAACCACAAGGTTCAAGGACAAGCCTTGCTTAAGTCTATGCAAGACTTAAAGTAAAATTCAGTCATTTATTTCACATTCAGTTGTTAAGGCTAGAGATTCTTTCGACAAAGCTGCAGATGCAGCACACTGCCCACAGGTCTCCAGCCTTGCTTTATTTACTTAACACCTAGGTGTCTAAATAACTCAGATTTTAACAAATAACAGTGTCAGTCCGTCATAATGGCATAGAAGGACGTCATTTCGACAAAGTAAGTTAAGTTGTAGGTAGTTTAAATATTTATCTGAACAACAAACCATGACATATATTGAAAATAAAGAGCAGCACTTCCTTCCCCTCTGCAGTGAATTCCCAACTTTTGCACTTTGTTTACAATTACACTGTGCATTTGCCAAGACTGATTTTTTAATTCACCTTTTTGAGACATACCCATGTTGTTTAGCTTCGTGCTCAAAGAAATCACCTTATTTTCAAATCAGCCTGTTCAAAGATGTTATTCCATATCTCTGGAGCTGGTGGGACTTGAACCCAGGCCTGCTGGTCCAGGGGTCAAGTAGGGACATTACCATCGTGCCATAAGAGGTCTTGAAGAAATCAACCGTTTTGTTAAATCAGCCTGTTCAGAGATGTTATTACATAGCTCTGGAGCAGATAGGGCTTGAACCTGGGCCTTCAATTCTAGGGGCAGGGTAGAGACACTATCGTTGTGCGACAAGCGGGCCTTCTATATGTTTTAATTTTTTAAAAAATTATACTATTTTCCTAACAAACCTGTTCAGAGATGTTATTACACAGCTCTGGAGCAGATAGAACTTGAACATGGGCCTTCTGGTCCAGGGGCAGGGTAGAGATACCACCACTGTGCGACAAGCGGGCCTTCTATATGTTTCTAATTTTTTTTAGAAAATTAAACTATTTTTCTAATAAACCTGTTCAGAGATGTTGTTTCACACCACTGGAGCAGGTGGGACTTAAACCCAAGCCTCCTGGTCCAGAGTTAGGGACACTACTGCTGTGCCACAAGAGGACTCAAAGAAATCAACACTTACTTAGACAATCAGTTGCAGCTGAATGACAATTAATTAGCACTGACAGGCAATTTTTGTTTAATAATTAACTTGAATTTAGTTATTACATAAGTTTTTCAAGTTGGAATCAAAATGTTAATCCAAGTTTCAGTGTGCAACTACTCGCCCAGTACTTAGAAAATTCCCATTGTCACTAACATCTACAAAAATAAAAGCAAATTTTGGAAATCTGACATGAAAATAAATAATAAATATTTAGCAGGTTTGACAGCAACAGTGGAAAGAGGAACAGACTAAATGGCCAAGATATACCAATGGCCAGATAGCAGTTGTGGATTTGTAGACTGCAGTTGTGGTTCAAGACCTTGCAGAATTCCCAACACAGCTGATTCCATGGTAATTACCCATAAACATCTGAGGGAAATTCTACAGTGTTTGTAACATTCCAAAGGAGTTCATTTAAACTGCAGAATGTGAAATACTCCAACTCATGTAAGCTTAATAGTTACCTACGAAAAGCTAGTGGATTAAACCCTACTTTCTAGTTCCTGAATAATTACTAAACTGAACCCCTGACTCTCATGTTATTCCCCCATGACACCCACTTATCCTGACTTCTCTCTGCGTTCAAACTTTCCCTCTAATCCTACCCTCCCAAGACCTGAATTGCCCCATTCCTGACCTGATCTGGTCCTGCTGGACTTGACATCCCACCTTCTCTTCAACCCAACTTTGCTGGACCCAACAGCATCATCCCCTACTGATCCAACCTGATCCTACTGCCCCTGATAGCTAATTCAACCGTCCTGCACTGACCTTACCCTGAAAGACTTGAATGACCTCCCTGGCCATGACCAGACCTGGCACCTAATTTCCCAACACAGTCCCGTCAGACCTGATACGCTCCACCCTAACCCAACCGTGCCAAGTCTGATAGTGTCACCACAACCCATCACAACTGAACCTTGCCAGACATGACAAATCCCTAATTTGTTCTGACCCCTCCCCTCTGCCCAACCTGAGTGCTGCCCACTAACCCAAACATGGTGCCCTACCTCCCCCCCGCTTCCCACTTGCCTCACACTCTTATCTTAGTCATTATTCAAATGTCTTCAAATCTTGACTGGAAAAGTCACTGATAGGTAAGTACTAATTTTAAACTGGATTACCATTGGTCAAATCTGTTCTGCTGGTAATTGGAATATTTGCCAGTGTTTAATGATCTTTCAACCCATTTTTTATACACCCTGCTTAAGATAAACTTGTTTACGAGTACTCTGTGCAATTAAAGTAACTGTAGTGAATTTGCATTCCGAATATGCACAAAAGAATCTTCGAATATCTTCCTACATGAGAGAGTAACTATTTCAAAAGTATTTTGTCATTCTTGAAATGTGCCACCTAAATGCAAAATAAGTTTTTTTTATATATAATCTTTATATATCAACAGTTGCAGAAAAATTAATAGTACAATGCTTTAAAGTTGCATTAAGCACTAATGGGATGAAAGGCTTGGTGAAATTTAATTATTAATTATCTTCTCAACTATCTCAAGATTTCTTTTGTTTTAGAGAATATTCAGATCTTAAGCGACTACTTAATCTTTTGAATGTACCAGCAAGCAAGCAACAGGTATGATCACCCATAGTATAGTGCCAGTTTTAGAAATAGCAATTCTGTGCTATCAATGGGATCTATTACACTTTAAATGAAAGAATATTTCTCACCATGGTATTTTAACAATGAACCATATATATTTTGGTTATGCAATATTAGCATAATACTAAAAATGTTGTTTTATTCATCATGTACAATAATTATGCTGCTTTTCATTAGCATTTAACTGTTCAAAATTCGATGAGAGGAAAACTGAATGAAGAAAATTGTCTCATAGGTCCTGTCCACAATAAGCAGGGTAAATCCACCCTGATTACTGCTCCGTCAGTTACCTTCAATCATCAACAAAGTGATCGAGGTTGTTCTAGACAGTGTTATCAACCATTCCCCCAGACTCATTATAGCCCCAATCCAAATGTGAGCAAAAGAGGCGAATTCTAGAGCTGAAGTGAGAGAATTTGACATTAAAGCAGCATATCACCAAGTGAGGCATCAAGGAGCCCTGGCAAAATTGAAGTCAATGGGAATCAATGGTAGCAATAATAACCTAAAGAAAGATAGTCATGATTGTTGAATTTAATCCTGTCAGCCAAGCCTTTGATGCATCATTTTCTCAGACCAATATCCTTTGTTCATCCATTTTCAGCTCCTTAGCCAATGATATTCTTTCCATAGTGATATTAGAAGTGGAAATGTTTGCTGATGATAGCCAGTGTTCAGTACCATTCATAATTGCTCAGATCCTGAAACAGTTTCTACCCACATGCAGGAAGGTTCGGAGAATATTCAGGCTTGGATTGGTAAGTGGCAAATAACATTCATTTTAGACAAGTGCTAGGCAATGACTATCCAACAAGAGAGAATCAAAACATCTTCCTTCAACAATTAATGGCAATCCCATTACTGAATCCTCACTACCAATATCTTGCGGTGAACATTGACCAGGAACTAGATCAGCCACATAAATAATTTCAGAGAGCTGTAAAAAGCTGAGAATTCCCTAATGAGTTCTTTACCTCTTCACATCCCTAAGTCTATCTATCAATTACAAGGTACAGCTCAGGTTTATAATGGGATACACACTGGATAAGTGCAGCTCAAACAACATTCAAGAAGCTCGACGATATCCAGGGCAAAGCAACCGACTTGATTGGTAGTGAATCTGCAATCTTCATCATTTCCTCCCTCCACTGTTTGCCAGCACACAGTGGCAGCAATGTGTTCCAGCTAAATGATCAACTAGAGCAACTTGATAAGGCTCCTTTGACAGCAACTTCCAAATCAGAAACTTCTAGCAATATCATCTAAAATAACAAGGGCAGTAGATATATGGGAACTGCAGCACTTACAAGCTCCCTTTCAAGTTACAAACCATCATGACTTGGAAACATTTCTCCATTCCTTAATTTACAGAGAGTTAAGGAGTTAAATTCCTAGAACTTCCTCCTTAACAATGCTGTGGGCTTGCCTATATCCTAAAGACACCAGTGGGTTCAAGAGCCACGATCTTTTCAAGACCAGTTAAGAATAAGCAATGAATACTGACCTTGCCAATGATTCCTATAAAGCAGAAATGAATTAAAAAGAATTGATGTCCTACTCCTAGGCTTGTCACAATGCTGCGTAGCTGGGTATTAGGAGAGGAGGTGGAAGTGATCCAAAATTGCTTGTCTCCATGAAACCTAACTGACAGACTGTTGGTGAAACTTAAGCACTTCTTAGAATGTTTATAATTTTGATACTAGTTTATTTGGTAACTTTTAATGGACCATTTTATAAATACCAAGAATTATAATTAACCTAATTGTACAAATTGTCAGTGTATGTCTTTTCTTCCTAACGTTAAGAATGAATGAGTGATCACAAAAGATTTCAATGGCATAAAATAAGAGATGAAATTTTTTTTTGTGTTTGTTCTTTTAGTTGCCAGCTTTAAATATTGACAAAGGCCATGGAATAGTAACTAAATCACAACAACAGCGTTTTGTTCAAGGCAAACAAAATGATGGAATTCGATACGGGGAGCAACAGCAGCAGTCAACTGAAGCTGTGGAACTTGAAGCTTTTAGGTATTGAACACAAGAACATAAGAAGTAAGCGTAAGCCATTCAGTCAATTCCACGATTTAATAACATAATGGTTGGTCTTCTATCTCAACTTCACTATCTCACATTATCCCCATAGTCCCTAATTCCCTGAGTATCCAAATGATCTACAGGTGTCCATCTAGAATTTTGTCTGCAACTAAACATTCATAGCTCTCAGGGATAGAGAATTACAAGATTCACAGCATATTGAGTAAAGTGTTAACAATGCTTCAGATGTGGTCTCACAAATCCCATTTATTACAAAGGATAACATATAATTTTCTCCCCATTAGGCCTTTGGTTAACTGTTAGATTCGTATTCAAGAATATTAGGTCTGTCTGAAAACTAACATCTTCAAGTCTCTGAAATGAAAATAGAAATTGCTGATGAAACCTAGCAGGTCTGGCAGCATCTGTGGAAAGAAAGCAGAGTTATTGTCTCAACTCCGGTAACTCTTCATCAGAATTGGAGTCACCGGACTTGCTACATTAACTCTGCTTTCTTCCCACAGATGCTCTCAGACCTGTGGAGTTTTGCCAGCAATTTCTGTTTTTGTTTCAGATCTCCAGTGTCTGCAGTGCTTTGTTTCATCTTCATGTCTCTCACCTTTTAAAAATATAACCTGTTTTCCTATTCTTCGTACCAAAGTGGACAGCTTCAGATTTCTCTATACTCCATCTGCCACATTCTTGTCTACCCACTTCTCTATATCTCTTGGAAGAATTTTATATTCACCACACAGCTTACTTTCCCACCTAGTCTTGCATTATCAATAAAATTGAATACATTGCACTTGGTTCTCTCATCTAAGTTATGAATAAAGTTTATATGTCGCAGAATCAGAATGCTCTATGAAAATCCAATTGCGTTAACTATCTTTGCTTCCCACTATCAACCCTGTTAGCTATTGTCTAAAACTACTCAAACACGTTTGGTCAAACATTATGCTAACTCTTCCCAAACATATTTGTTTGGATTTTGAAGTGAACAATGAAGTGATGGCATTGCCATAAACTTTGAAGAAAGCTGCCCATGGATTTCTCCTTTCTAAATTTTTGTTTGTATTTTGCAAGCATTGTGCAACAATGATGTAGGAACATTGGACTTAGGAACCTGATTAGGCCATTTTGTTTTTGAACCTGCTCCATACTTCAATTAGATCATGACTAATGTGGTTATTGTCTCAATTCCACTTTCCTGTCTGTACCCCCATTTCCCTTGCTGTCAAGCAGGGTAAGAAACAATCTCATTGAAGTATTTTAGTAGCAATGCTGGGCATGAAAATGCAGTTATTCCACAGTAAAGTAAAATTTTCCAGAAACTGAAAAAAAATGTCAGAATATATATGTTGGATTAAGGTATAAGTTTTTTTTATCATAATTGAGAAATTTAACCTTACATAAATTGAAAATTAATTTCTCAAGTCCAATGATGCTCCTCACGATTATGGACTTAGTATGTTTAAAAACCCAGTCACACACCTTACTCAAGGTGTAACATTTTCAAGAGTTTGTGAATCAGAGTTAATAGCGTAAAATGATAGGTTCTCATTAGTTGTGATTACTACTCGATGGCAATCTGCAGGGACTTCAATGGCACACTGTACAGGGAAGCATAAAACTGCTGACAGCAAATTCTGGATTATCACATTTAACCAGTATCCATTTCAGGGAAATAATAAGGGCTACCAATCCCGTTTCCACAACTATTCAAGCATTGTGGCTTTCTATATGCCCTGTTACAATGTCTCTAGTAATAGATTCTAGCAATTTCCTCATACTGATGCCGGGTTAAGTGGCCTATTGTTCCTTGTTTTCATCTATCTTCAATAATGGGTTACGTTTACTACCTTTCAATCAGGGAGGACTTTTCTAAAACCTTGGTAATTCTGGAAGATCAAAAACCAATACATTTGCTTTGTCTGCAGCCACCTGTTTTAAAGCCTAAGGAGAAGGGCATCTGGTCCAGGAGATTTGTTGTCTTTGAATCCCATTCATTTCTCTAGTATTGTTTCCATATTTCTTTAAATTCCTTTTTCTCAGTCGGCCATAGATTCCTGACTATTTTGATAGTATTTTGTGCTTTCAATTGTGAAAGTTTTCCAAGTACATTATGCAAAATGTCTGTTTAATGACTCCCTCATTTCCTTGCTTCACATTATCATTTCTCCTGTAACTGCATAGAGACCCGTGTTTAGTTTTGATTTCTTTAAACTTTTGTTATATATTTCTGGCTAGTTTATTTCTTAATGCTATTTTTTCTCTCTGTCAATTTCTTAGCCATCCTTTGCTAAGCTCAAGAAGAAACAAGAGAGTTTCTTGTCAACAAATGGGAGTCAAGGTTATTACAACTACAACAAGGGAATATTGTGGATTGGTGGGTTAGATGGCTAATTTGCTTCTCCAGCCTGAGACAGCTGCCATCTCAACTCCTTTCTGACCTCCACCACTTCATGGGCATTTAGGGACAGATGACAAATGTTGTCCAACCAGCAACACCCAGATCCAGTGAAAATATAGTTTCCCACCTGCTGGTATAACCAAGGCAAGCCTATGATTTATGGTGTTGATGGCTTTGCTATATTATTCTTGGGTTCCTAAAATTACACAGTATTTTAAGTAAGTCCTAATCAATGCCTTATATACATTTGTGAAATCTAGTATATTTTATGACCTTTTTATAGTATATGTGGTGAAGGCATATTTATTTTGAATTATGTATTTAAATCTGTTCACCTACAACATTCAACTACTTTTGATTTAGTGTGACATCCTATTACTTGTTTCTCCTCCCAAAAATATGTTAAATTATATTCGTATTAAATTACCTGCTCACTGGAATAAGTTGTCTGTGTCTTCCTGATCTCCTTTACATTTTGCCTCATATTGTTGAACTTCCAACACAAATAGTTTTTGTGATTGTACTCTTTATGCCCAAGTCATTTATAAATCATCTACAAATACTAAGACAAAACTGAAGTTATATTCACCAATGCTTATGTACAAAACTATCCTGTAGACAATCTGAAAACCTTGGACTGCGACTGCATGGATTGCCTTTATTCAGTTAGTCTTAATATAGTTAAAACACATTAATATTATTGCACGGAGATAGTAGGAACTGCTGATGCTGGAGAATCTGAGATGGCAAGGTGTGGAGCTGAATGAACTCAGCAGGTCAAGCAGCATCAGAGGAGCAGGAAAGCTGACGTTTCGAGTCTGGACCCTTCTTCAGAGGTCCAGACCCGAAACATCAGCTTTCCTGCTCCACTGATGCTGCTTGGCCTGCTGTGTTCATCCAGCTCCACACCTTGCTATCTAATATTATTGCACTATCTAATATTATTGACCGATGATGCTACGTTGCATGTCCACATCTGAAATGTGCATTTCTTGCACATCTCTCCTTTCCGCTTATCTGATGCACCCATGTCTATCTCATTTCCACATGAGGAAGGGCCACCGGACCCGAAACGTTAACTCTGATATTTTCTTCACAGATGCTACTAGACCTGCTGAGCTTTTCCAGCATCTTCTGTTTTTATTGCTGATTTACGCCATCCACAGTTCTTTCGGTTTTTATTTATCTCATTTCCATTGTTTGATACTCTGTCTTTCCTAGTCTCCTGGTTTCTTTTGATGTTCTTTCTGTTGTTTGTCTTGCTTTATTTGCCCCTATCCCTTTTAACAATTCTCCTTCCAAACTATATTTGCCTTTTCATTGATATGTTCCCCATGCTGCTCCTGTATTTTTCTGCTATCCTTAAATCTAAATTTGTGATAGCTATTTTGTGCTGTTTTGCCTCTGCTGTACTTCACTTGTCTTACTCACATCTTCTCTTTGTTTCTATTCACTAACATTTACATTCTAAAATTTCCTTTTGTTGGTTTATTATTTATGTTGGTCATGAACTGAAACCTTAGGCTCAACATACAACTTCCCTGGAGCAGCGTCATACGATATTTCATTTTTCCTCATGTTGTTCACAAGGCCAAAGTTTTTGCATACATCGGAGACCGATGATGCTACATTGCATGTCCACATCTGAAATAGAAGCTAATGCACAGGCAACAACAAACATAAAATCATGAAATAAGTCATTGGAGACCTTGGTCTTTGCCTGGTGTTGGCACAGATTGAGTAGCTTCCCATTCCATGGAAGATCTACTACCAATGCCAGGACCACAGTCGTGGAAGGCATCAGACAGCATGGCTGAGAAGAACATGCTTGAAGAGGATTCACACTAATATCCAATCATCTATTTAACACTGTTGGTAGCTGAGGATATATTAGAAGACTCTAACAAGGACTCACAAGCAAGCTGTCAAGAAGCCATTGATGAACTTCCTCAGGCAATCAAATTACATCATTACCTTCCAAAGGCACTCATGACTGACTCTGTCAAAAGCTTTGATTACATCTACAAGTGTGGTATACAGATCCAAGTTGTGATCTTAGCAATTCTTCTGGAGCTGTCTGACAGAAAACACCATAACAATGCTTCCTCAATTATTTTTCTAACACCATACTGGTTCTCTGTTTCAGTGAATAATCTCTTGGTCGCATACTCCCAAGCTATTTGTATTGTTGATGAGACAGATTGGTGGCAGATTTTGAACATCGGTCTAGGGTGAAGAGGAAATCTGCTGATCAAACTCTATCTACAAATGTATAGAGCAATAGTCCTGCCCACTCTGGTATGTGCATGAGATTAGGACTCTATATCAGGATCATGCCAATAAAATCATCTATTTCCACTTGAGATGTCTTCAGATGCTTCTGTGGATTGTACAGTAGAATAAAGCACCAAACTCTGAGGTGCTCACATGACCTGGTGTGCCAATGATGCTACTATATTGAGACAGGTGCATTTGAATTGGGTTGGTCATGGAGTCAGAACGCCATACATGTGCTTACCAATTCAAATCTTTTCTGGAGAACTTGAGTTTTTGGCAATTAAAGGCAGTGTTGCAAGGACACTCTGAAGGCTTCTCATAGGAGATTTGACATTGATGTCAAGTCCTGGTAGAAGCTTCCTAAGAACATACTGTACACCCCTTCAAAAATAGGCACAGTTGAAAGATAGAGAAAAATTTCACGAAGAGGAAATCCTGAGCCAATAAAACTCAATCATCAAAGAGTAAAAGGATAAATAGCATAATATAAGCTAATACTTATTGCTTTGTATGTTATTCCTGTGTCTGTTTTAGTCCTTGAAGCCTCTTAAACTGCCGATTTAACAGTGAAGAGGGAGAATTTAAATATAATAGTGGTTAGATTGTCAAGTTTCTGGATTTGTGATTCTTTATTTTTCATCACTGAATAATTTTGATTTGGAGTTATATTTTGTATTGTGTTTTAAAATAAAGCAAATTTAAAGACTTTTTTAAAAAAGTGTCACAGACTGCAGGCTCTGAAGATATCTATTAAGGCATGTGTCACCATTTATGAAACGTCCCAGCTCACAGTCTGTGTTAAACTGATGTAGATGAAGAATATTGTGGTGCAATGTGATGTCCCTACCTCTGGGCCAAAAGGTTCAAGTTCCACCTGTCACAGAGGTGTGTCATAAAATATGTGAACAATATGACTTAAAAAATATTTAAACTGATTCAGTCAGGAATCAGTGGTCTTTGTTGTGTATGATATACTAAGTTCTGGAGAATTAGAAGTTAAAAGTGAGACTTCTGGAGTTTTGTTGTTGCAAAATTTCACAGTGCTAGGACAGAGTTTAATTTCCTGTATTTTGCTTTGTTCTATGTTTGGCATCAACATGTCGGGCCCATGGAAATAGATGATGGTTAAAGGAGAATTATATAATAAAATGTTGTGAACCTCCTGATGTTTAACTTGAGTAGTGCTGGTGATAACTTGGCAAAAGGTTGGCCAGATAAAGCACATTGGGCTGAATTTCACCAGAAATTGACTAATTATCAATATTTGTAAATTTCACTGAGGGTATTTCTCCATGAGCCCTAGCGAGTATTCTCGTGCTAATCTCCACAACTCACCACCTTAACTATACACCACACTTCTATGGCACCGTGCTTGTATTATCTTTACTTTCGCTTGCTGGGAAGTACTCACCGAAGCTGGGACTGCTGGGTTTCCCAGCATGATTTTGAAAGGCCAACCATGCACCAGGTCAAGTGCTGCAAGCTAGCAGTTGCCTTTCACAGTGCACGTCGTGGAAGGGGAAGCAAAAAGAAAAGCTTCTGAGGGAACATAGGTGTCACGGAATACACTTCATTGCAAATACAAGCACACAAAGGTAAATGTGTCACTATTTAAAGACAAACTATGCAGTTGACATGTCCTTAGTGTCACTCTGAGAAACCATTTTAAGGGGATGGTACTCTTTCCCCAATGGCCAATGTTGTCTGATGTCATCTCATTGTTCAATATGGCACTATCAGATACTGGAGAGCCTTCAAATGATTGAAAATTTTCACTTCTATTCAACAACAGAAAAAGCAATGAAGAAACATACAAAAAGCACTGCGTCTGGGAACAGACACGGACTGCTTGCCTTTCAAACAACAACAAATTTATAGTCAATGAGTGATCATTGCACCCAGCTCATATTTATTGGAATAGATATCAATTAAGTTTTGTCCAGCTTGTTGTGCATGGCACCGCAGTGCCCGCTCATGCAGAAGGTGATGTTTGTCCTGCTCAATGTCCTCATCTTCCATCACGGAAGACTGTTGCTGCTGTCTGAGCTCTTCAACGTCCATCAAACTTGTTTTTTGTCTGGTCTAGTTATGCAGAAACATAGCACGCAAGCATAATGTGGCAAACTCTGGACTGTGTTGCATAGCCCCACCCAGACCGATCCAAGGATCCAAATCTCATCTTCAGCAGACCTATCATTTTCTTCATGCTGGCCAGGTTGAAGAACAGGTAGCATTGTATCTATACTTAGCTTCCCTTGGGGTGTTGTGTAATGGAGTCAGTCATGATTGCAGGGGGTAGCCCTTGTCTCACAGTAACCATCATTGTAAGGTTCTTGAAAGTTTAGCTACGACTCCATGCAGTGGTTCATGGAATACCATCATGGACATAGAGACCTTATTCTGATGAATGCAGCACAAGCCATGCCACCTAAAAACAGTAGGAGATTGCAAGTGCTGTATGATTACTGATATCTTCTATGTATACCCCCACATCACTCAAGAAAGACAGCATTGTATATGGGAGAATGTTGACGAATACTTACAGTTCAAGGTAAGAGGAAATCAGTTACATGATTATCAGAACCCTAAGAGATTTTGGATTGTTATTGTGAATTGCATCCCAAAGGTGTCATTTTTGAGGTCATCTGTGATTACTTCAGCTTCACAGAAATGATTATGATTAATCTGCAATAACCACTGACATGGTCAAGATTATTCGAGATGAGAATCTGTAACCCACACAGTTGGGCACTGCATGTATTTCACATACAAGGTACTATGTTTACAGATGACTTCAACCTGTACTGTGAAAATGCCTAAGTAATGTAATTGCCCCTTAAAAGGCCTCACAATGCTCACAAGTAGAGCCCGTGTGCTTGGACAAAAAAAAATTCGCCCATTCTGGATGTGGTCACAGCATTTCCATTTTCATTGCTCATTTACAATTCACATGAGTATGGAAGGTGATGTAGGACCAACTTGGCTCGATAAATCACAGGCTAAACCTAATGTTTTCCTCAGGGTTCCCCCAAGCCTCCATGTTCCTTTCTTCCTTGCACTCCCTGTCGAGTCCATCACTCCTGATCTTCCACACATCTGTTTAAATTATGACTTGATCTCTAAATATTTCCCTGAGTCCTGGCCCTTCAGCTTAGTCACATCAACCATCATGCTACACTGAACCCTATGGAATCAGGGTGGTTGTACTGTTGATGATCCCTCCCCCTCCTCCCAGAGTAACCCATATCCTTCAATGCACTATTGTCTCCATTAATTATATATATTGAGTTTTCCTCCTTCACAATTATCTGCTCTGCATTCCAGCCTGCTACACCCAATTCCCTGACAGAGTGTCAGGCCCTGACTTTCATTAAGCTGACCCCTAGGACTGAAGATTACCTAACATCAATCAATTTGAAGGGACAAACCCAACTGATGACTGATCATAACCCTGGTCTGGTATCTGTGCTGCTTCCCAGACAGGTTGCACTGAACCTGCAGGTCTGACTGTGGCTCACTTCCCAGACTGTAATGATACAGATCCTTGACCTGTGACCCCAGGAGCCAGCTAACCTTTTTCATGCCCCTGAACTGATAGCGAATGATGCCCTTGACTAACTGTGGTGGGCAACATTGGAGCTCAGTGGTTAGCACTGCTGCATCACAGCGCCAGAGACCCGAGTTCAAACCTTGCCTCAGGTGACTGTCTGTGTGGAGTTTGTACATTCTGTCCATGTCTGCATGGGTTTCTGCCAGGTGCTCCGTTTTCCTCCCACAGTCCAAGGATGTCGATGTCTAGCTGGATTAGCTGTGGTAAATGCAGGTTTACAGGGATAGTGTGGAGGCAGGGGAGAGCTGTGTTCAGGTGGGATGCTGCTCAAAGGGTTGAGGCAGACTCGATGAGTTGAATGGCTTCTTTCTGCACTGCAGGGATTCTATGATGCTGTGACTCCGTAACTGTAGGCTTTCTGCTTTGGTCTGACTGAGAACTACTTCCTTAGACCACAAGACATGGGCATTTGGTTGAAGCACATGCAGTGTTTGCCAAGAATACTGCTGGCTCATGATGCAGGTGTAAAATTGATGTAGCATGGTGCCATAGAGCAACATGACCACCCTTTTGACTATCCACTACTGAGAACATGACAAACTACCTGGCTTTGTGCATGTGCTAAAAGGCAACACAACACCGAAGTGCTGTTCTCTATACAACTGGTAGCCATGATGTGGAAGTGCCGGTGTTGGACTGGGGTGGACAAAGTCAAAAATCACACAATACCAGGTTGTGGTCCAACAGGTTTATTTGAAATCACAAGCTTTCAGAACTCCGCTCCTTCATCAAAATGAGAGAGGGGACACAGACACAGAGTTTATAGGCAAAGCGATCAAAGGATCATACAACTGATGTGAGTGGAGTGAACAAACATAAAATGGCTGATGGAGAATTCTGTTAGAAAGGAGATGCAAGTTTCAATTGATTAAGATGCAAATTCCAGAATCTGTTTCAAGTCACTGCCCCGAGATCATTAAAGGTTTTATCAGGGTCTGCCTAACTTCGAAACTTCAATCAGGCAGAGATACAAAAGGCGACATCTCAGGTCACAGTCAGTCATTGTGGCATTTTATAAATTCCTGCTTTCGGAATAAAACCAACCTGATTCCAGGTTAAAACTCAGAGACAGATTCTGAACGAGGCCTCATACCCACAATTCAGTGTCTGACCTAAGATGTCACCTTTTGTATCTCTCCTGATTGAAGCTTGGAAAGTTAGGCAGACACTGATAAAATCTTTAAATATCTTGGAGCAGTGACTTGAAACAGATTCTGGAATTTGCATCTTAATCAATCAAAACTTGTGTCTCCTTTCTAACAGAGTTCTCCATCAGCCATTTTCTGAATGTTCACTCCACTAACACAAGTTGTATGATCCTTTGATATCTCTGCCTATAAACTCTGTCTATGTGCCCTCTCTCACTGCACATGACGAGGGAGTGGCACTCTGAAAGCTTGTGATTTCAAATAAACCTGTTGAACTATAACCTGGTGTCATGTGATTTTTGACTCCATACAACTGGAGCAGATGCATCCTCTGATGATAAAAGAAGTAGCTGCAGAGATAGTGGATGCATTGGTAGTAATTTTCTAAGAATCGTTAAGAGTTTAGAAACATTGCAGAGTGCTGGAAAACTGCCAATGTAACAACTTTATTTAAAAAGGGAAAGTGACAAATACCAGATAACGATAGCCATTTAACTTAACACCTGTCATTTGAAAAATAAGAGTCTATTATCACGGATGTAATAGCAGAGCATTAATAATTTGTTTAGGCAGAGTCAGCACAGCTTCATGAAGCAGAAATCATGCCTAACCAGTGTATTAGAACTCTGAGGAGGTAACAAGCAGGATAGATAAAATGGAAGCAGTGGACATAATATATCTGGATTTCAGAGTACATTTACTAAGGTTCAACATGTTAGGTTACTCGTAATATAAGTATCCATAGTATTGAAGGTAGTATATTAGCATGGGCATTTTAAGGATGGCAACCTATAATGAGTAATGTGCTCCAGGAATCAGTGCCAAAGCCACAATTATTATATACTATAGATTGTAGGTGGCGAGGGGTATAGAGAGGCTAAGCAAATGGACAAAAATTTGGCAGATTGAACATAATGTGGGGAAATGTGAAATTATGCACTTCGGCAGGAAGAATAGATGAGCTGAATATTATTTAAATGGAGAAAGCCTGCAGAATGCAACTGCACAGAGTGATTTGGGAGTCTACATTCATAAATCACAAAAAGTTGGCACGCAAGTTCAGTGGGTAATAGGGAAGGCAAATGGAATGTTGATCTCTATTTCAAAGGGAATGAAGTATAAAAATAAGGGGAAGAAAAACAAAGAAATGCAGGTGCTCAAAATCTGAAACAAAAACAGAAATTGTTGGAGAAACTCAGCAGGTCTGGCAACATCTTTGCAGTCCACGGAAGGTTCACTAGGTTGATCCCAGGTATGGAGGTGTTGTCTTAATACGTAAAAGTTGAGTAGGTTGGGCCTCTATTGGAGTTTGGAAGAATGAGAGTTGGCCTTATGGAAACATATAAAATTCTTGGGGGACTTGACAGAGTAAATGCGCAAAGATTATTACTCCTTGTGAGGTTATCTGGGACCAGAGAGCATAATCTCTGTAAGGGGATCACCCTTTTAAGACAGAGACGGAGGAATTTCTTCACAGAGTGTAGTGAATCAATGGCATTTTTAACTGTAGAGGGCTGTGGAGTCTGGTTTGTTAAATATATTTACAGCTGAGATAGACAGATTTTTATTCAGTTAAGAGAATTGAGGATCATGGGGATATGGTGGAAAAGTGGAATTGAAGATGATCAGATCAGTTGTGATCTCATTGAATGGCGGAGCAGCCTTAATGGGCTGTACAGCCTGCCTCTGCTGAATAATCTTATTATGCTATGGTCGAAGGCAGCAGTACTGTGAGCCTTTAAGCTCTGGATGAGGGGACAAATAGCAAAAAAGCAAGGTGGAGATGCTGGGAGCCTCCAAGTAGGCACAAAGTGAGCAAGTGCAAGGTGAGCAATTGAGAAGCCCTGAGATCTATCTGGTCTGACCGTGAGTTGAATGCTTGTACCTACATGCAAAGTTTGCTGGTAGTAGCTTTGCAATGCAAGGAGCTGGTGCACTCTGAAGTGAAGTATTGAAGTGTAGAACTTGTGTAAGTGGGGTCAGAGATGTGCTATGATGATATAGTGAGCTTAATACATGTCTGCTGTCAACCTCAGTGGTTGGAGGGGTGGAGCAGTTGTTTGTTGGCCATGGAGTGCGCCATGAGTTGTTGGGGACTGCTATTCAAAATGAAGGAGCTCAGGAGCCAGCAGTGAGCTGGGCTTGCCACGTACCAACTCAGACTTTCACGTCATGAATTGTCACCATCTAGTTTCTATCCAGTGTGAGGCAGAATTAGAAAATGGATATTAATGAGATGATTGTGGGTACTAATAGTTTGCTAATAGATGTAAATAAGGCCTCTTGCTAATCACTCGTGAGATTCTTGTCTCGCCATTCAAACCTGGTTGCAGATTTGGCCTCCTTTTCTCTCAACATTGAGAATCTCTTCTGCTGATCTTGCCACATTTTCCCAACTGACACGCCAATGCCCATATTGTTTAGGTTCTGGTAAGATTCCACCCATTGTCTCATAAGCATGCTGGAGAAAAATGAGGGAAGCGATGTTTGAACGCAATGTAGAAGGTACTACTTGGAGAGAGGGAGTGTTCCTTTGTCTATGTTCTGTTGAAAATTTGGAATACAGAGATGCTAGTTGGAACCATGCCATAGCCTTTGATGAATAAAAAAAAATAACCTTAGAGTGAACAGTTAAAGATTAATGTGAACATGGACATTATCTATGTTAACTTCAGTATTAACTCTTACATGTTTATTCAATAGTGCTAGTTAATGTTTATGTTGCATAGTTCTTCACAATCACTCCACTGTATATTATTTCAGCAGTCAGATCTGTCTGAGCTGCTGCTGCTTGTGCTGGTGGTTGCTTCCACTGTGATTCCCTTTAAGTATATGGATCTATAAGGCCTTCCTGGTCTAGTGTGAGGGAGGAATACCATTCCTGGTGTTCTAATGAGAAAAGTCTCTTGTCTTAAACAAATCACAAAAAGGCAAGGCAAATCATAAAAAGGCAAGTGAAGCTGTGAACCTCCAAGTAGGGACAAAGTGAGCAAATGCTAAATGAGCAAGCGAGAAACCCTGAAATATTTATTGCTTCATAGCAACTATATGCAATTTATACTGGTATGACAGACGGTGTTACCTTAACTGTGAATAGATCACAATTTCATTCCCCAGAGATCCTAAGCTGTTCTACTCACAGGTCCATTGACTACCATCATATTAGACAGAGTTTAATGTACTCTTCAGCATTAACTCTTACACATTTATACAATAGTTAATATTTAGCAAACATAATGGAAAAAAAATGTATCCACCTTACTGTGTAAACTGTTCATTTCACTACATTTATTATGAAGTCCGTTTGTAGCAAATGGGGTGATCACAATTTAGAGCTATTTGATTTAAGTTACTTTAAAGAGAATTATTCTCAGCGTTATGAATATTTTCAAAAATATTTTCGTATTATTCCAATGGTGTCCCTCTGTGTTATACCAAATCTGTGATAAATAAAGGCCATGTAAGTAGTATAAATATTTGGCTCTTTGAGTATGTAAACAAAGCACATTATATTTCAAACTTCAGTTCTGAGAAGTGTATTAACTCTTATAACCTCACTAAGGACTTTCAATTGAAATTATCCCTATTTTCTACAACAAACTTCATAATTAGTGTAGTGGAATGATGTTTAACTTATATAGTTTTCAGTTTTGTATAGCATGTTTTAAAAATAATGGTACCAATGTAAAGTTTGAAATGATTACATGAAAATAACTATGGTTTTGTATCATATAAACTATATTGCTAGTGAATTTATTCATTTTTTTCTGTTCCTTCAATAGTGTCAATTACAAAAATGAAAGAAAGTTCAGTTGTCATCCTCATCACAAGCTCTTTTTGGAGATTTTCGTTGCTCTTGTAAAGCAGAGGCTAACATGCAGGTAGGAATAAATCCTGTTCATCACTAAATGAACTTGTAAATATGTACAAATCTTTCATTTCAACTATAATATTATGCTACAGTACATTGCCTTATATGGAAGTGAAGTATGTTATAGATTCAGTTAATCAACTAGACTAAAAAATGAAACAACTAATGATTTGTTGGTTTTATAAGGTTTTAACGCCAAATGGTCTGGATACTGTGAAAAATGTCATATTTTTTGTGGACCCAGCTGCATTATTGTGGTATAAATTGTTCCAATTATTTTTAAAAATGCATTTTACTTAGTCTGTAAAGCAAAGAGCAGTACTATATTAGATTTTGACTTTCCTCATGGCAAATATGGACATTACCAAGATGTGGTAAATAGATGAAGCAATGGCAAGCATCACACAACATCAAAATTGAAAAAAATGGTAAAAAAGCAGCGTTGGAAACACTGTATTAGAGTGCACATAGATTTCACAACAAAGTTGATAACTTGAATGCAAAATTGAGGTAAATGGGTATGACTTAATTGCTACTGTGGAGAAGTGTCTACAGGTTAACTGAGATTGGGAACTGAACATCCAAGGATATTCTGTATTTAGTAGGCATTGACAAAAAGGAATAGGAGGTGGGGTAGAACTCTTAATAGGGGATTACATTAGGAGATTATGGAAGAAAGGATCTTATGTAGAGAAGCTTTAATCAGGAAATAAAAGATGCTCCAATGTGGATAATACTGTAACAATGGCAACATAAATTTCTATATAGACCGGGATAACCAAGTCACCACTAAGGCTATAGACGATAAATTCCTGGAATGTGTATGAGATGCATTTGTGGAACAGTATGTTGAGGAGCCAACTAAGTATTATGTTATTTTGGATTTGGAATTGTGTAATGAGAAAGAGTTATGGAAAATAGTCTGAAGCTAGGGTCTTAAAAATATAAGAGCAAGTTGTCTATAGTGGATTGAGCAAATGTACTAAAATATTTTATCCTAGACAGGCAATGGCAGTACTTAAAGAAATACTAAAACACTGACCATAGATATACATTCCTCCAAGGCATAAACACCCAAAGGGATTGTTAAGGGATAGTGTGGCATGGTGGCTCAGTAGTTAGCACTGCTGCCTCACAGTGCTAGGGATCTGGGTTTGATTCCACCCTCGGGCGACTGTTTTTGTCCGTGTCTGCATGGGTTTCCTCCGGGTGCTCCGGTTTCCTCCCACAGTCCAAAGATGTGCAGGTTAGGTGGTTTGGGCAATCTGAATTGCCCATAGTGTTCAGGGATGTGCAGGCTAGGTGGGTTAGCCATGGAAAATGCAGGGATAGGGTAGGGAGTTGTGTCTGCGTGGGATGTTCTTCAGAGGCTTGGTTGGTGTGGACCCGTTGGGCCGAATGGCCTGTTTCCACACTATAGGGGTTCTGTATTTTCTAAGTTAACCATGGTTAAGGAAGCGAATAAAGATTCCGTTAGATCAAAGGAAGTAGTTTATAAGAACATAGAACATAGAACATAGAACATTACAGCGCAGTACAGGCCCTTCGGCCCTCAATGTTGCGCCGACCTGTGAAACCAATCTGAAGCCCATCTAACCTAAACTATTCTATTATCATCCATATGTTTATCCAATGACCATTTAAATGCCCTTAAAGTGGGCGAGTCTACTATTTTTGCAGGCAGGGCATTCCATGCCCTTACTACTCTCTGAGTAAAGAACCTACCTCTGACATCTGTCTTATATCTATCACCCCTCAATTTAAAGCTATGTCCCCTCGTGCTAGCCATCACCATCCGAGGAAAAAGGCTCCCACTGTCCACCCTATCTAATCCTCTGATCATCTTGTATGTCTCTATCAAGTCACCTCTTAACCTTCTTCTCTCTAACGAAAACAGCCTCAAAACCCTCAGCCTTTCCTCATAAGACCTTCCCTCCATACCAGGCAACATCCTGGTAAATCTCCTCTGCACCCTTTCCAATGCTTCCACATCCTTCCTATAATGCGGTGACCAGAACTGTACGCAATACTCCAAGTGCGGCCGCACCAGAGTTTTGTACAGCTGCAACATGACCTCATGGCTCCGAAACTCAATCCCTCTACCAATAAAACCTAACATACGGTACGCCTTCTTAACAACGCTATCAACCTGGGTGGCAACTTTCAGAATGCCAGAATGCCAGAAATAACGGTAAACCTGAGAATTAGGAGCAATTTGTGACCCAACAAAGGATGACCAAGGAACTGTTCAGGAAAGGAAGCAAGAATGTAAATGTAAGCTAGAAAGGAATAGAGATAGTGGATTGGTAGTAAGCTTTCATAATTGTACAAATTATGGAAATGCTACCACTGATTTGAAAGAGACAAATGTAACTTTGTTAATTAAAAAAATGGGAAAGAGAGATTGGAGAACTATAGATCTGTTAGTTTTATATCAGTACTGGGAAAACTGTTATAATCTATTATGAAGAATACATTATAGAGAACATTAACAAAAGAAAGGCAAAATTGGGCAGAGTCAACATAAATTTAGGAAAAGGAAATCATGCTTAACAATGTTTTTGAGGATGTTACTTGTGGAATGCATAAAAAAAACCAGTGGATTGGTGTATTTGAATTTTCAGAAGGGTTTGATAAGACTGCACACTGGAGGATTGTAAATAAATTTAAGCACATGGGTTTGGGGAATTTATTGATGGATTGAAAAATTGTGAATAGAGAGAAAGCAAAGAGCGGGAATGAATAGGTAATTCACAGAATGATAGACTGTTTGTTTACTAATGGGGTGCTGTAAACATCAAGGCAAAGTCCACTATACATAATCTATACAAATGATTTGAATAAGGAAACCAATTGCAATATTTCCAAATTTACTGAATACTAAGTAGGAAAGATGCAAGGAGGCTTCAAGAAGTCTTGGACAAGTTAAGCAATCGGGCAAGATCGTAGAAGATGAGATATAATGTGAATAAGTGTGAAGTTATCCACTTGAGTAATTAGTAACAGAAAGACAGATGATTCCTTAAATGTTGAAAGGAACCTGAATGTGCTTGGTTGAGTCACAAAATGCAGGCGCAAAAAATAAATAAGGCAGGCAATTGTTATGTTGGCCTTCATCGCAAGGGAATTTGAGTACAGTAGTAAGGATATTCTGCTGCAATTGTATTTAACCTTCGTGAGATTGCATCTGGAGCACGGTACACAAGTTTAGTCTCGTTATCTAAGGAAGGATACACTTGCCATTGAGGGAATGTAGTTCACCAGACTAATCGCTGATATAGTGGGATTTTTCTTTCAGGAGGGATTGAGGAAAATGGGCCCATATTCTCCAGCGTTTCAAAGCATGAGAGGTAATCTCATTGACGCATATACATTTCCTACAGGGTGAATGTAGCATGGATGTTTCATTTGGCTAGTGATTCTAGAATCATAGGAAATAATCGCAGGATAAGGTGTAGGCCATTTAAGACTGCAATGAGGAATTTCTTCACTCAGAGGATGGTGAATCTCTGAAATTTTCTATCCCAGAGAACTGTGGAAGCTCAGTCTTTGTTCAAGACAGAAATTGATATGTTTCTGAACATGGATAATATTAAACGATATTGCAGGAGAGTGATTTTGTAGAATTGTTCATCCATGATCTAGAATGACAGAGCAGTCGCAATGTTTTTTTAAATTCACTCATGGGATGTGGGCATCATTAACTAGCCAGCATTTATTGCCTGTCCCTAGTTGTTCTTGAGAAGGTGGTGATGAGCTACCTTCTTGATCCACTGCAGTCCGTGTGCTTTGGGTTGATCCACAATGCCCTTCAGGAGGCAATTCTAAAATTTTGACCCAACGATGGTGAAGGAATGGCAATATATTTCTAAGTCAACATGGTGAGTCACCTGGGGGAAACTTGCAGGTGGTGATGTTCCCATGTATCTGTGTCCTCAGAGATGGAAGTGGTCATGAGTTTGGAGGGTGCTGTCATGGTGAATTTCCATAATGCATCTTGTAGATAATAAACACTGCTGCTGCTGAGCGTTGGTGGTGGAGGGAGTGGATGTTTGTGGAAGTTGTGCCAATCGAGCGGACTGCTTTGTCCTGGATCGTGTCAAGCTTTTTGAGTGTTGTTGAAGCTGTTCCCGTTCAGGCAAGTGGGGAGTATTCCATCACACTGCTGACTTGTGCTTTGTAGATGGTTTTGGGGACAGATATTGGGGAGTCAAGAGGTGATATAATTGCTGCAATAATTCTTGCCTCTGACCTGCTCTTATAGCCACTATGTTTGTGTTGTGAGTCCAGTTGAATTTCTGGTCAAAGTAACCCCAAGGATGTTGATAGTGGGAGTTTAAGTGATGATAGCACTACTGAATAGAGTCATAGAATCATACAGAAACAGACCCTTTGGCTCAAGTCATCCATACTGACTGGGTTTCCTAAACTGAACTAGTCGCATTTGCCTGCATTTGTCCCATATCCGTCTAAACCTTTCCTATTCATGTACCTGTCTAAATGTCTTTTAAAGGTTGTAATTGTACTTGCCTGTACCACTTCCTCTGACAGCTCGTTCCCTTTACGCACCACCCTCTGCGAAAAAATGTTGCCCTTCAGGTCCCTTTTAAATCTTTCCCCTCTCAACCTAAACCTATGCCCTCTTGTTTTGGACTCCCCTACCCTGGAGAAAAGACCTTGGCTTTTCACCTTATCCATGTCCCTCATGATTTTATTAACCTCTATAAGGTCATCCCTCAGCCTCCTATGCACCAGGGGAAAAAGTCCCAGCCTATTCAGCTTCTCCTTGGAACACAAAAAGTGAGGATTACAGCAGGTACTGAAGGCTGAAAACAGCAGAAGCTCTAGAGGAGCACAGAATTGCTAGAGGAAACTTAAAAAGGGAATTAGGAGAGCAAAAAGAGGGCATGAAAGAATAATGGCAGGTAAAATAAAGCAAAATGCTAAGTTATTTTACAAGTACAGTAAGGGTAAAAGAATAACTAGGGAAAGAAGAGGGCTTATTAAGGA